ACAAGTGCATATCCTTTTGAGATATCATATCAATTATAATCAATTTTAATACAACACAAGACTACATTATATAACTCTAACAGTAGGCTATTTAATAATCTGTTGTTTTCCGGTTGTCAGTCAAAATGACAGTTCTTGCGTGAACATTCCTTTTTGTCTTAGTGTTTTAAATATTTATTTTGTAATGAATGAATGAATTAATTAATTAATTAAACAAACAGACTTAATGGGTGAGCAGGGTAGGCTATGACAGCTGTCATATCATACCCTGCCATGTCCAACTGATGCAAAGAATACAATTTATATCTACACAGAAGAAAGCCCTGTCTTGACTCTGTCCCAGTATGAGTTGTGTCGAGCTATTCATTAGCCTGTTTGTTTGATGAGAAAAGATGAAATGTAGTTGCAATAAATGTGTTAAGAATCCGTACAACTGCAGCAGTGGAGGACTATTATATTATATTGTAGAAATCGAATATTCAAGCTGTTTATTCATTTTTCTACCCCTGAACGAAAAACGAAAATTTAAGCTGAATTCTTGTTTTTTCGTTTTTTGGACAAAAAACAAAAAACGAAAAAGGAGCCGTTTTCTCATTTTTCTACTTTCAATATTAAATAAAAAAACGAATGATCGAATGATACACGGATTTATCACCAGTAGGTGGCGGCAAGTCATTGTGTTGATGAATGAGTCATAGAGTCATCAATTCAACCGATTTGTTCAAAATGCTGATTTGTTCATGAGCAAAGCAAATGGGTCATTGAACCACTCACACAAACGATTCATTCAAAGACTCGGATTCATTCAAGAATGAAACGCCTGTGTTTTAAGTCAAATAAAACACACTGTTTTGTGTCTAAAATGAAATAAATTCATACTCATTATTAATGAAACTGTACTGTCTAAAATAAAAGTCATGACTTCTGCGTATTCACACTAAAATCGATACTGGTCTGCACTTCACTATAATGTAAATGCATTCGCCCCGTGTTGTCCATTGCGTCACGCAGCTTTGCCACACAGATTTTGATGACTGGACTGCTAAATAAAATGTGTGGTGCGCTAAGGAAATAGACTAAAAGGGTCATGTGGCTGCAGATCCGAGGTGAATACATATTTTTGCAATAAGCACCTAATACTTGCCATAGAGAAACTATGCCTACACAGAAGTAAACCCTGTCCATTTGTTAGTCTGTTTGTTTGATGAGAGAGAGACGGAATGCAGGAGTTGCAATAAACACCTTAACAGTGGAGGACTCTTATTCTGTTGCACAGAAATGAAGACGACATGATGATGGCACCGTTTCATTTTTGCTTGACCAATCAGTGAAAAGGGTCGTATAATTCCCTCCCACACAGGGAAATCGAACATTCAAGCTGTTTATCCATTTTCTACCCCCGAATGTAAAAACGAAAAATTAAGGCGAATTCTTGTTTTTTCATGAATGAATGAATGATGCATTTATATAGCGCTTTTTATTGTGTATTGTTGTACACCCAAAGCGCTTTACAATCATGTGGGGGGTCTCTCCTCAACCACCACCAGTGTGCAGCATCCACCTGGATGATGCGACGGTAGCCACAGGACAACGGCGCCAGTGCGCTCACCACACACCAGCTACAGGTGGAGAGGAAGAGAGTCATAAAGCCAGTCAAGTGGTTGGGGATTATTTCATGTTTTTGAAAAAAAATTAAAAATGAAAATGGTGCCCTTTCCTCATGTATCTGTTTTCAATATTAAATAAAAAAACAAATGAACGCAACATACACGGACCTTACAGTAAGCTTAATTTTCTTGATGCAAAATGCATTTCCCCCCCCCTTTTGTGGTGAAATATGACTGACATATTCTGCTTAGATTCCTATACATCAAAACAAAATTGTAAGATAGAAGAGCCAAATGTATTTGAGCTTATTTCTGTGATGATGATAAAATGTTATGTTGTGTCATGTCGTCCTCTGACTAGATGGCCCAGAAAAATGATGACGAGTGTTATGTGTGTCGCTCTGAGGGAGATCTTGTGTGTTGTGACGAGTGTCCACGAGCTTTTCATTCACACTGTCACCTACCAACTGCAGACGGAGACTCACCTGGGTGAGACAGACAAACATATAAAAAACTATTAAATCAGCAAGTATGTATGTTGGAGATTCATCCTGTATATGTGTGTTTGCTTGTAGGGAATGGATTTGTACCTTGTGCGTGTTAAGAAACAGTCAACAATGGCGAGAATCCAGTAACATGTCTGAACAAGAAGCTTTCAATGCCCCAGTGTCTCAATACAGATTGGTAAACACACACACACACACACAAATTCAGCACCTTAATATAGAAGATAAACACAAACATTTAAGGTGCTCACAATTTGTAACAGCCTTCAATGCCCTAAAGTGCTGCCTACATAGGCTGCTCAGCAGGCTCAGAAACAAAACAATTATTTATGGGCCTAATTGTGGATATGTGTGTTGTTTGTCATCTTTAGTACTGCCACTGCCTCCTGTTATGTGTGTACAGAGAGGACATCAAGAAGGTGTTTGTTGAGGATCCACGACAAACGGTGAGATTGCCTCCTTTTTTCTTCTTGCTGTCTTTTACATGTGACCCAGCTTCAGAATTTTACTCTTTTCATGCCTTAGTTTAATTTAAAATAGTTTATAAATAGAATAAAAGTGATGCAAAATATTACTTTAAATTTATAATGCATTAAAAACCAAAAATAAAATGACTTCCAGGTGTCCAGATACTCTGAGGTCATAACTCAGCCGATGTGGCTGGACAGAATAAAGCAGAAGTTGGAAAGTGGAGAGTATCAGACGGTAGGAGCGTTCATCTCTGACTTTCAGCTCATTTTCAGCAACTGCAGCAAGTTCAATAGGGTAAGATTCACTGAAACATGTTACATAATAAATAAATCACCAACTAACAGATCAATAGCTTGTTAAAATGAAGTTGTTTTGTAATCTTATATGTGGACACATACATTACATTTGATTTTTGACAGATTTTTTTGTATTTTGTTCTCTTGCTCTCTAAAGGACAATGAGTTTGGCCGAATGGGTGCCAGGCTGAAGCAAATGTTTGAGGAAGAGTTCCAGAAAATCTTTAGTATCCAATGACAGCTCTCTTTTACAAGTCTTTCAAAGATACAATTGAGAGCTGGGTAGCTTCAAATATTAATTAGATCTCATTATAATGTATATAATATGTATAACATTTTTAATTTTGCAGTCCTGCGAAGAATAAGTGGTTTGGAGAATGGATGGATGCAATACAGGACTTAGTTGCTGTTCAACACTATACATCTTTTTTTTGTAATGCCAGCTTTCCAATGCAGTGAGGGATTATGTCATTCCCAACATTATGCTTATGGTAATTTGATTATGACTGTACAGAAGATCTGCTACTATTAACTTTTTCTTCTACTCCATATAGACCATAATGACTGTTAGTGTTCAGGTACCTTAAAGGTGAAGGGTGCTATTTCTGTAATTGCAAGAACAATTATTGTTTTAAATAGGTTCCTAAACAATCTGGCCACCCTTTCTGTCCTGCTCCGTCTTCCATTGTTCAAAAAACAGGCAGCCCCACCACCAAACACACATCATTAAAAACACTACAGAGCCAGATATTTGCATTATTTTTTGGGAAATTAATCCAAAAATGTCTTCTTTTTTTTCTTTTGTGGCTTTGTGTGTTTTTCTTTTTAATAAAAAATGTTAACAATAAAAATGGCACAATTCACCTTAAAGACCTAAATCAAAATGTATTGTAGCATTTTGTTGTTTGAATCATTTGCTGTTCATTATTCTGTTGTTGTTGTTGTTTGTTTAATTACATATAAACATACATTATATATAAATAAATCGATACCTTTATATAAAAATTTGGATTTTTTTTTAATGTTTATTATTAATAGTAGTAGTAGTTTTTGTTTTAGGTATTCTTTTGTGTAGTTTCTTTTTGTTCTGTTGCCTTTTTGTATTTTGGATATTTTGATACCTATGTGTATAGATATACTTGGATGACAGGTGGCACGCAGTCAGGTGAGTAAATTTAACAAGATATTTGTATTACACCTGGGTTGCCCTTTAAGGGGTAGTTCACCCAAAAATTTTAAGTCGACATTTACTCACTTAAAGCTGTATGTTTGTTTATCAACATTCTTCAAAATATCACCAGTTTTCAGCAGAAAAAAAACTGTTTTGGAACAACTATACCGACTTTTACTGGAGCACAATGTATAAATACAATTTCTTGTTAATTAAACGTTAGTTTATCTGAGTTATTAAAAACATGAAGGATGATTCAAAAATACCAACTAAGGCGAAGATATCCCGCGCATCCTTTTCAGTCATGCACGCCCCCCTCTTCTTGCTTCCCTCCCACTTTCTCTCTACTAAAGGCTGATTTATACTTCTGCGTCGGACCTACGCCGTAGGCTATGCGTCAGTTTTCATTTATACTTCTGCGTCGTTGTCCGTGTCGACGTGCAGTACACATGCAAACCGCTAGTCAGCAGTGTCCACGGGCATGTTGCTGGAGTAACCCGCAGTACCACGGCAAAAAGCCGAAGAAGAAGCGGCTCGTCGGAGAAGCATTATAGCCGTGACGGCGGCAAATAAATATTAAATCATTATTTAAAACTACAAAAAGAAGACAACAACGGAACAGGAGAGGATGGCATTCTTTCAATCTGCACAAGGACTTGTACCACGGCAGATCAACACTGTTTGTTGCGGACAACTACTGATGTATAATGCTATGTAGTATCATAAATGATAAGACACTTGTTCTTTGCTTTGTTTTATTTTATATAAGAAGGTGTAACATTAAAATATATTAAAGTGCACATAAACACACACAAAACTCCAGTACATATGGAGGGAGGGGTTCTTGCAGACCAGTCACAGCGCTTGCGGTCTGCGTAAAATTGACGCGCTGTTAGATTTTTGGAGAGGTGCAGGTCAGGCTACGGCGTACGCGTGTGCGTCTGTGCGTAAGCTACGGCGTAGGTCCGACGCAGAAGTATAAATCAGCCTTAAGTCGGATAATTCAGAAAACGCCGCTGTGTCCGAGGAAGTTGAGGTAACTACCAAGCTAATGCTTATTGCTGTTAAAGAGTAGTATTTGAATGTGTGTGTAACTGAAGACATAACTTTTTCCAAATTAAGTAGTTCATCTTTTGGTGTTATAAGCCGGGCTTCGAACGCTTTCGCTTTTGATTTCCCGATTTTGTGATCACGTTTTACAAGAAAAGATAATTGTCTGTTTTCCTTACATTTGTACCTTTCACTTTTTAAGACTAAAACATGATTAAAAGATTATCAGCAACCGATTTATTGTTATTCTTAATTAAAAAGCACGACAATAAAACAGTAGACTACAACGACGTAGGCTATAAGGATATTTGACAGGCCAATTTTAAAATACAAAAATAATATCTATTGCAATTGTTCAAACATTAGGAATATTGGGTAAACATAAATTCATATTAAAATGTCAAATTAAGTGATTTTAGTGTTTTTTTAATCATCTAGCCTTAGCCTTAATAATGTAATGTGGTGCGACCGTGATTTATATTAAAATTCATTAATTTCCTTAACATGCTTAACATTTTTATTACAAGTTCTCAGCAATTAAAGTGTTTAGAAAGAAAGTATTTGCATTTCTTTTGAGTTTTTGTAAATAATGATCTCATATTTTTGTTTATAATTTCTGAGTTGCTTTCTTAAATGTAACAGATCTACTTATTTTTCTTGTAAATTGCATAAAACTGATCAAAATGTTTAAAAAAATACTATTTACTTAAGCATACTGTATCAGTGATTCATATTTCAGCCACAGAAATTAGATATTTTTAATTTGTTGCTATTATTGGTCGCACCACATAACACAAAGACCTTATATCGTTAAAAATGTATTTGAAGAGCTCAATAAACAATAAATTTCATACAAAACACCCAAATAATTTAAACCAGATTTTATTAAAATTTTACAGAATTTTCATGAACACAAACATTTTATAAACATATATTGTATAAAAATCACATCGCAAACATAAGTGCATTTAACTTGACAATGGAGATAATTGAATTAATACATTTTGATTTAATTTTGATCAGAACCAGTCTGGAGGAAGGGTGGAGAAGCTCATAGCCCAAGTTGCTTGAAGTCCCGTGTTAAGTTTCCACAGTCTGTGATGATTTGGGGTGCAATGTCATCTGCTGGTGTTGGTCCATTGTGTTTTTTGAAAACCAACGTCACTGCACCCGTTTACCAAGAAATTTTGGAGCACTTCATGCTTCCTTCTGCTGACCAGCTTTTTGAAGATGCTGATTTCATTTTCCAGCAGGATTTGGCACCTGCCCACACTGCCAAAAGCACCAAAAGTTGGTTAAATGACCATGGTGTTGGTGTGCTTGACTGGCCAGCAAACTCACCAGACCTGAACCCCATAAAGAATCTATTTTCACATCAAAATTTTGGGGAAGCTGTGCCTCCCCTGCCTCCCCCGATGAGCCGCCACTGCTCAGTTGACCCTTTACCGGGAGCTTGATTGACAGGCGATCTGACCAATCATAACGCCATATCTGCCATTTTGTCTGACAAACAAACCAGACAAGAGAGTAGATTACCTTCGGTGGACTTGAACTTGAAAAATGCTGTTTAATGACGTTGTATAACTAGTAAAGAAAAAGAGGTGATTGGTTCACGTACTGCTTGAACTGGGGCACTTCAGTGATCTGTCACGACACATTAAAGGGGTCATATGACGTTGTTAAAAAGAACATTATTTTGTGTGTTTGGTGTAATGCAATGTTTTTATCCGGTTTAAGGTTAAAAAAACACATTATTTTCCACATAATGTACATTATTGTTTCTCCTCTATGCCCTGCCTTACTGAAATGCGTAGATTTTTACAAAGATCATTGGTCTGAAAAGCGAGGTGTGCTCTGATTGGCCAGCTATCTAGTGCGTTGTGATTGGCCGCATACCTCAAGTGTAGGTTTTAGACTTGGTTAGAAAACCAGGTTTTTCGCTGAGGAGCCGAGCCAGTGACCTGGCCGCTCAGCGGTGGTACAGCAGCCGTGGCTAAGGGACATGACGTCTCCGTTCCATCCTTCAGGGAACGAGGGGTTACATACGTAACCGAGATGTTCCCTTTCAGTCGGTCACTCCGAGTCACGTCGGTGACCGACGAATTGGGATCCCTACCAAGGCGCCATGGATGCTGCCCCTTCCAGTGTTCTGTGCGAGCCGCCTGCGCCCCTTTGTGGTGTAGGCCGGGACAGGCAACAAGAAGACCAGTCACTGTTCCACTTGGAACAGGAACGTTGCGTTTCGGAAGCACTTACACATTTGACATCCGTTTAGGTGCATATGGAAGATTAGAGGTGATTGTAACCCTCTTGGAAATGGCAGAAGTCTGCCAGGAAAACACAGGCTCTGAGGCTATACCGTGGACTTTAGGCCTCTACATATGGAACCCAGCCCTCTACCGGTTCTCACTGATTCAGTGAGTGAGGGCCTGGCACCGGACCTTCCGCCATGTCTGGCTGCCGAGGGAATGGAGGAGCTCGACAGGGCCTACAGTACAGACACTCTGGAGCAGTTTTAGCAAGTCGACACTAAACCAGGGCCTCTCAGCACCTCTACCCGTTTGAGGTGAGAACACAGGAGGATACTAAAAGTGAAGTGAAGTGACATGTGGCCAAGTATGGTGACCCATACTCGGAATTAGTGCTCTGCATTTACCCATCCAAAGTGCACACACACAGCAGTGAACACACACAAACCGTGAACACACACCCGGAGCAGTGGGCAGCCATTTATGCTGCGGCGCCCGGGGAGCAGTTGGGGGTTCGGTGCCTTGCTCAAGGGCACCTCAGTCGTGGTATTGAAGGTGGAAGAGAGCGCTGTACATTCACTCCCCCCACCTACAATCCCTGCCGGTACGAGACTCGAACCCACAACCTTTGGGGTATGAGTCCGACTCTCTAACCATTAGGCCACGACTTCCCAATACCGGCTCCACACCAAGGCTATAGAATCTAGCAAACGTCTTGGGGGTCACCCAGCCTGCAGCTCTACAAATATCTGGCAGCAAGGCGCCACAAGCCAGCGCCCAGGAGGATGCAACACTCCTAGTAGAGTGAGCTCGCAACCTGAGCGGTCAGGGCACACCCTGTGCCTGGTAAGCCAGGGTGATGGCATCCACAATCCAGTGGGCCATCCTCTGCTTAGAGACGGCATTCGCCTTCTGCCGGCCTCCGTAACAGACAAAGAGCTGGTCTGAGGTCCTAAAGCTTTGTGTTCGGTCTACGTAGCATCTCAAGGCTCGGACGGGACAGAGCAAAGCTAGGGCTGGGTCTGCCTCCTCCGGGGGCAGCGCTTGCAGGCTCACCACTAGTGGTTGACCGATATTGTTTTTTTTTGACAGCCGATGCCGATATCTTGGAAAGCAGGATGGCCGATATAAAGCCGATATAATTTTATTTATTTTCAATAAATATTTAAGAAATTGTAAATAATTTGAAAATGGATTAAAAAATACATGTTAAATAAACATACGTATACTTTAGATGACAAAGTATTTTTCACAAATAAATAAATATTTAATAAAAAAAAGAATAAAAAGGAAGTAAACACTGTAACCAACAGGGCACTTAGTATTCTGGGAAGTTTGTTTGCATTGGGAATAATATTTTTTCAAATAAAGCTAAGGTAACACTAATTTTACATACAGCACACAGTGAAAATGACATTAATATGGCAGTGGGCAAATGCATAAAGCGCAGCATAATTTGAACTCGCAAGTTTAAAGTTTGTCGATCGCGCATCTCCAGTGAAGCTGAACTCTCCTCCTGTCAGCATTCAATTCACATGGATCGACCGTCACGCAGAAAACACACAATCATGCAGGATATAAATGCACACTTCACAAGATCTCACAACAGGATCCGACTAAGTTTGCAAGGTTTGTGAAACTAAATGTTCATTAGTCATTCAAAGATTTCTTTAAATGATATAAATGCGTATTTGCTGAATGCTGACGGCAAACAAGAAATTATTATAATGTTTGCCTTTCTATTACTAATAATATAAAAGCAATCGTTATAATACTTTTTGTATACTTTTTAATTCCTTTGTTTAACCTTTCTGATTATTAGACAGATTTCTGTCCGTATTAGACAGAACTGTTAACGACGACAGCGAACAAGAGGGAGAATGTGAGCACTGTGTGCTCAGGCGCTGCCGCTCTTAGCGCCGTAAAAGTCCTGCGCGCCGTCAAAATAAAAGTCCCGCCTCGAACGCAACAGGACAGGAAAACTTATCGGCCGATGCCGATATTTAAAAAATGCCAAATAGTGTTTTAAGCACCAGAGACAGGTCCCAAGAGGGGCCGGGGAGGATTTAACCTTCTCGCCCCCCTAAGGAACCTGATGACCAGGTCATGCTTCCCTACTTCCCTTCCACGGAGCCATGGTTAGCAGCAATCGCAGCGACACAGACTTTAAGGGTGGAGGGTGACAGCCTTCGCTCCAACCCTTGCTGCAAAAAGGAAAGCACGACCCTGATCGAGCATCTCCGGGGGTACACCACTCGATGAACAGGTTTCACTTCAAAGCGTAAGCGTGTCTCGTAGACAGTGCTCTTGCCGAAGTGATGGTGTCAACTACCTCTTAGGGTAGGTCACCTAGAATCTCCGCGTCCCGTCCAGGGACCAGACATGAAATTTCCAGAGGTCAATGTGGCGGGGGCCACAGGGGGCCCCGCCTCTCAGTCAGTAGATCCTTCCTCAGAGGAATCTGCCAGGGAGGGGCTGTAGCGAGGAGCATTAGTTTGGGTAACCAGGTCGAGTGGGCCAATACGGCGCCACATGCAGGACCTGCTCCTTGTCCACCCTGACCTTGCACAGCGTCTGTGTGAGTAGGCTCACTGGGGGAAATGCATACTTGCGCAGGCCCCGAGGCCAGCTGTGTGCCAGTGCATCCGTGCCGAGTGTTCGGTCAGGGAGTAGAACAACTGGCAGTGAGACGTTCCTGGAGAGGCAAACAGGTCTACCTGAGCGGTGTCTCCAAAAC